CCCCAAAACCCCAAAACCCCAAAACCCCGAGGTGTAAGTATAATTGGATTATTTAGAATTATAAATTTATTGAACTTTGTTGAAATGGATTTGAATTTTTTACTTTTTCCAACACCAAAGCAAAGCTACGACTATTAAACATTGAAAGACAATTTAGTTTTTATTCCAAGACTGAAACCAGACTAAATCTAGTACATATAAAAGGATATCAATAAAATGTATTATAATAAAGTCATTGATGCTTCCAAAAAAAATCATTAGAAAAATAATTAGAGAAAAGAAAGCAATAATACATTTCATAAACAATCTAGTCCTAGCAAAGACTAAATCGAAATGAATTAAGAAAGCAAGCAAGACATTTTTAGTATACTCAATAAAATAAAAGGATTTGATAATGAAAATGTTATACCCACATTTTATCTACCATCACCTTCACATTCACGGAAAATAATTATATACTTTCATGGAAATGCTGAAGATCTAGGGCATTCAGTAGATTTTATCCTTAGTTTAAGAATCAAGCTTAAAATGAATGTACTTGCAGTTGAGTACCCTGGATATGGAATATATAAGAATAATAAAATATCAACAAACGAAAAAACTATTTTAGAAGATGCTTATTACATAATGCAATTCGTTACCTAGATATTGAAATCCTCACCCCAAAATATAATTCTGATGGGAAGATCAATAGGATCAGGAATAGCAATTGAGATGGCTTCAATATTTGAAGTAGCAGCTCTCATATTAGTTTCAGCTTTTACTTCAATTAAAAATGTGGTCAAAGATTAACTCGGTGATATTTTCTCACATTGCATAAGAGAAAGATTCGATAACTACTCTCATTTCTAAGCAAATAGAATAAGATGTCCTGTATTTTTTACACATGGCTAACAAGATTAATTAGTTCCAGTAATTCATACTCAGATTCTTTACGATTTATGCCAGTAACAGTGTTCTATGATATTACCAAAAAACATGACACATAATGAATTTGATTTCTTAGAAGATTTTTCGTATCCATTATACTATTTTCTTCTTTAGCTTGGGTTTATACAGGATGATGACAAGAATAACTTAGCCGTTTTAAGTGATATAAACTTTTAACTGGAAATATTAAGATCACTTCAAACTGCCCCAAATTGGATCGGGAAAAAGAAAATTTCCTTTCAAATATTTTGTTGTAGATAAAAAGAAGACACTTTGTTGAAAAAATTAGCAAGACAAATATTATATTGATATATAATTCCAAGTTTATTGATATTTAAACCTAAGGGGTTTTGGGGTTTTGGGGTTTTGGGG